GTAAATGCAAGGGGTGTTTAGTTTAGCTAACCAATAAAACATTACAGGGCAAATTATTTGTTCGCTTTGAGAAAAACCGTTTCGTCGTTGTAAAAACATAATGCTGTATGCCGTCTTATGCGGCCGAAATTAGGTGCGCGACAAAACCTATATAGGAGTGCATCTGGTCTCAGCCAATAAAATCTTTTTCATGATTTCACAGGAATAAAGCTGACCAAACAGAAGGTACAAATGGATAAGGTTCTCTTTCAACAACAAGAATCTGAAATTTCCCCACAGTTAAGCCGGGAAGATGGACTAACCTGCAGCGCTGAGGCATCGAAGTGGGAAGTTTCGAAGGCAAGGGCTGGGTCACCTCGTGTGTACAGGACGTCTTCCAGCAGGGGGAAAAGTGCGCCCACCCAAAAGGAGTAGCAGCTGTCGACGAGTTTGTTAGTACGTCCCTTAAATAGGTAAAAGAACGGACAAAAAAATGAATTGATGGTGGTGCAAGAGGTCTGCAGCCCGTTGATGAAAGTTCACCTAACCGCTAACAAAACTCGTCTACCGCACTCTGACAGAGGTCCTGACAGCCGTAACAGCAGGTAGTTTTGCTGGCAAGGACAAGGGAGACTGGAATGCTCATTTCTGGCTTATTAGTCGTCATCAGCCAGTAATACCCATACCCGAGTGGTGCCCCACTCGAGGCTGCAACTCGCGAACTTTTGATCACAGTCAAAAGTCCTAACTATTGAGCCACGAGCTCGTTGTCTTGCCGGTTTAGATAGGTAAATATTGACACTCGTTGATAAACACGCACCTGACCGCTAAAGGAACTCATCTGTCCCCATTTGTCTTGGGCCTCGACAGGTCTGCTGCCGTCAACCCTATTCCGCCCGTCGGCTGCAGCTACTAGAGTGGCCAACTGTAGTTCCCGTACGAGTTAACAGAACGTGGGATCTCTAAATTTAGAATGCTGCTTTGGTGTACAGATAGCATTAAAATGTGTTTTGATTATCTTGATTCTGTATATTTAAGGTAATGGGCGATGCCTTGAAGACTCTATTAAAGTGGCATACAAAAATGGTTAAGTTTAAAATATATACATAAAATAAATGTTACTATACAATAGGGAGTAGGATAATTGCATGCATGCATGTTGTAATAGTCAACTTTATGCGTAGTCATTCTGATGATCGTAGATAACATTGTCAAATATTGCACATTAACTTCATCTCTAAATGTGAGCAAGGTGTTGATATGTTCGAACAGCGCTTTCCTGTACCTCTTAAGTAAACATACATCTTGCTTGTGTCTGAATGCGTCTGTCGTGTTCGTCATTATGACGTCCTCGCGCAGTCTGTTCTAAGCAGCGACGACTCACTGCGAAAACGAATGGCTGCGGACATCCAGATGCGATAAGATTCTTCGGAACCTTGACAATTAAATACTTAAATTGTAAGTTGAGAACCCATCCTACCATTCTGTCAGCAACCATTATACTCAGAAGTCCATATAGGGGTTCATTGATTTTTAGGCTGTGTTTTGACAGCAAGTGACTTGGTTTATCGTTAAGTATCCAGACGATACCTAGATGATCGCTGGAAGACCATGGGCCAAAGAAGGCTAAATTACATCGTCTGGCAGCATATTTTGCTTAACAGTTTATGTCCTACTGTTCGGTTACTTTGCGTGGACAAATTAAATCGGCCAAGAAAGAAAACGCTAAAGATGGTGGAAGTATGTTCATCGATCAGGTTACGCAACCGGTTCGTTCCGTCGTGCAAGAAAGTGTCACTCCAGCCTCCCTTCTCTTAGTCGGCATTCTTTCACTTGTTTCTATGTTTAAGTAAGAGAGTTGAGCATATTTTCAGTGAATGCACACTAACCTGAAAACCACCCTCAGTCGGTAGTTGACGGTGAGCCGACCATCGAAGGAAACGGGGAATGTTGACGAGTTCGGTCCTACCAAGGAGATGCAGGGCCGCAAAGGCGCAAAAAGAGTAGCCGCCGTGGGCTTCTAACCCAGGCTGCCCGGCGAATCCACCCTCGTAAGTCTACATGGGGGGGAAAGAAGGCGCGGGTATAAATTTTGCCACAATCAGCAGCTCCAGAAGCGGTTATCCTGTTGATAGTTCATAAAACAGGGAGTCAATGGTTATTCACCTGACAACGGGCAATCCATTTGGCTGTGCCAGTAAAAATTTCAGGTCTTGATTTCAGCAGGCCAGTTAGAGCAGCCACGGAGACGGCACAGTAGGCCCCACGCACATCGACCTCGCCGCCATGGTGCATAATGAAGGAGCCGTCTGGTTGGTGAAGGGATAAGAGCCAATCACCGAGTTTTTGTCTGTCGATAACATCTAAGGCATCGACACAGACAAGGGAAGCCAGACAATTAATAGCACCATAAGTCGGTGCTAAGTGAGCTAACTGTTTAGGACCGCCAGCAAATCCGCCATCAGGGTGCTGAAACGAAAATATGAGCTCACCTGTAAACAAACAAATTACTTAGGAGGGTAAAATAAGCATAAGCCCATCAAGAAACATGACTAATGAAACCTTAAGGTTGCTGACTCCTTGTTGTAAATTGCAAATACCTCACTGCAACCAACACCATACCTTCTTGTAGGGTTAAATATAGCTGAAGCTATCTTAAGAGTATGAATATAAAAAGGACATGGACAAAGGAATTGATTACTACCAACAAATCTCGCGACAGTTTATTCATTGCAGTCTGGTGGCTCGATAACAGCTAACGAATCAGAAGCGCATATTAATATGCATCTGTACAGCAAAATCAAAACGAAACAAAAAGGTCATTGTTCAGTGCACACAGAATAATGAATAAAAAGCGCAATTTAGAAATGTAATACATGGAAAACAAGGAAGGCCAACATGCAAAGGGAAGGACTGCGGATTACGAAGACAAGTTAGGGTTGGCAGAGTGATCTAGTTGTTGGCGTAGGTCGGATTTCTGCCTGCGTATATAAACGGGCTCGAGTTAAACAACAACCGTTTTACAGAAGTGTTTCGTAATAAAACGAGAAATTCAATTTTCTTGGCTTAAAATCATTGGCAGAAGTTCTTAACTGGCCCAGTTACGTGATAACTTTTCTTTTTTCTTGTGCTAAGTGCTACAGTTACGTTTTTAATCGATAATCCCGTCTGCATTGAACAAATAGCTTGTTTTTCCCATGGCGTTCCGTGAAAATTCCATCTGCCGTATGCTTCTTATTATTTATTTAAACTGTGAAGCGACGGGTTGTTGTTGATTAGGCGCCGTGAGACTTGTTAATATCGACAAAATCAGCTGTCTAGGCCTCTTCTAATTTCACAAAGTGGAAAACTATGCAGTTGGAAGGGTAACGGCAAAAATAAAAGTATAATTACTTGCTTTCAGTGGATGCATAATGTAGTATAAAAAGAATAAAAAGCAGCACGGCTTGTCAACAGTGCTTGTAACCCGTATTATATGTGGCTTTTTCATTAATGTACGATTTAAGATGTCGTACTAAATGGAGGCGTTTTTGAAGAATTTGACTATTCAGGATTTCAAACGCCCTTTAATCAATTTCACTGCGGCCCAAGTAATTTGGAAGGTAACGCATTCATCTAGTAGGACAGCATAATGTCGTACGATGTTAGATGATGTACGGAATACAAACACCGATCTAATGCTACACTTATTCAAGGTTGTCAGTTCTGTGGTATTCTTTAAGAATGCAGGACAAAAGAAGAGCCAACTGATGTTTCCGCTCGATCAAATGCCGCTAAAGCTTGTCCTATAAGTTATAATTTATTGGACTCCTAGTAAATCGTCTCAGAAAGTTAAACCTTATGGGAAAAAAGCAAGACAGTAATTTGATACAGGCTGCTCTGTGCGTGCTTGATGGGGAGCGAAACAGCCTTGGCACGCATTCTCTTAATCTGCCTTACTGCACATTTATACCTAGAGATAGAATCGTCCTCTTTGAATGATACATCGAAAATATTTTGCTCGCCAAGTACGATGCTGGCTAGCATCAATCCAGAGAAACGGTACTGGTCGACCATCAGGCCTGCGCGTAAATTAGATAAATGAGTGATATATACACGCTAAGACTGAATAATCGATTATACATAGTAACAGCAAAGCATTAAACAAACCTGGCAACTTTTTAAAAGCGAAACTAAATCACGCTTTTGACTGTCTGATATTCGAAAATTAAGTAGCCGGAGGGCATGAACCATCCAGTAAGCCAACCATGGTTGACTTGCATCCAAATGTTCCATACTCGTAGGTAGGTTCACCAACCTCTTCGTGAGATAGCGTATGTGCTCTAACTTGAAGAGGCGCAACGAGCTTTCTCCCCATTTTTCGAGTTTCTCTTGGTATGCTTTGCGAACGAGTCGTTCTGTGCGAGACTGGTCTTTTTCGGTTTTCGTTTGGGGATCTATTTGTTCACTACCACTCCTCAAATAAAAAAGGGTGGTACGATCCATTTATATATTTTTAGAGAACGTCGTGTCCTCGGCCTCGTTTCTTTACATACTACAAGCAAGACTATGAACCAGCACGAAATCGCCTACAGCTACCAGACTTTCAGAGAGATCCGTATTTGACGTTAGTATGACGGCTCACTAAAACAAAGAAGACAGTGACTGTTTTTCTTTTATGAAGCTGGTTTATTGTCAGGGCCCTCGAAAACGACGGTCATTTTGCGGTCTCATAGTCGATAGCTCATTGCTTATCTAGGTAAAGCTCACTATCAAATTCAAGAAAATTGCGAATA